TCTCAAAATATCATTACAAAACATTACCCCTTATAGTTTGTGTTTTTGTTTTTCAGTTTTCATAGAATCGATTCCAACTCATGGCAACCATGTGTGTCAGAGTAGAACTGTTCCATGTGTTTTGTTTTGTTTTGTTTTTTAACTTTTATTATACTTTGTGTGAAAGTTCATGGAGCAGATTCATTTTCAATTCAATTGTTCATATGCACTTTGTTTCATGACATTGATTGCAATCCCCACAATGTAACAGTTCTCTTCTCACTTCCTCCCTCTGGTTTCCTTTTGCCTGTGTCCTTTCCTATGAATTCTGAGCTCTGTCCCCACACAAATACTGCCCTTCTGATCTCCCAAGGTTGTTCTAAGGAGTGCTTACGTAGTGTAATTATTCAGCTCATAGGTCTGCATTGTTTGCCTCAAAGTTAAGCCATGGGAGTGAGTTCAATTCCAGGCCCAAAAGGTGACTAGGGGCCACAGTCTCAGCAGCCTCACCAGTCTCTATGAGACCAGGAAGGCTGGTATTTTTTATGCTTTTGAATTTTGTTCCACATTTTTCTCCCACTCTATCCAGCATCTCCAATTTTGATTCCCTTCTGAGTGGTTGGCCTTGGTAGCCAGGCATCTAGTTCTTCTGGTCACAGGGTCATGTAGACTAAGGTTCCTATGTTCTACTAGTCTCTAGTACTAATTATTTCCATATGTCTTTGATTTTCTTCCTTCTTCTTTGCTCCGGACAAGGAGAAAGCAATAGTTGCTTCTTAGATGGCTTTTCACAGGCTTTTTAGACCCCAGTCGCTACTCACCAAATTAGGATGTGTTGTTGTTGTTAGGTATCATCAAGTTGACCCTGACTCACAGCAACCCCTATGTACAACAGAAGGAAACACTGTCCAGTCCTGCACCATCCTCACAATTCTTGATATACTTGAGCCCATCATTACAGCCACTGTGTCAATCCATTTCTTTGAGGGTTTTCCCCTTTTTCGCTGCTCCACTACTTTATCAAGCATGATATCCTTCTCCAGGGACTGGTCCCTTCTGACAACAAGACCAAAATATGCAAGATGATGTTTGGCCATTCTTGGTTCTAAGGCATATTCCAGCTGTACTTCCAAGAGAGATTTTTTTGTTCTTCCATGGTATTTTCAGTATTCTTCACCAACACCACAGTTCAAAGGCATGAATTCTTCTTCATTGTCCAGCTTTCACATGCATATGAGGCAACTGAAAATGCTATGGCATGGGTGATGCATACCTTAGTCTTCAAAGTGACATCTTAGCTCTTTCACACTTTAAAGAGGTCGGTTGCAAGCAGATTTTCCCAGTGCAATACTTCATGTGATTTCTTGAGTGTTGCTTCAGTAAGCATTGATTGTGGATCCAAGTAAAATGAAAACCCTAGCAACTTCTATGTTTTCTTCATTTATCTTGATGTTGGTTATGGGTCCAATTGTGAGGATTTTTGTCTCCTTTATGTTGAGATGTAATCCATACTGGAGTCTTAGATCTTCATTGGTGAGTGCTTCAAGTCCTCTTCACTTTCAGCAAGCAAGCAAGGTTGTATCATCTGCATATTACATATTGCTAATGAGTCTTCCTCCAATCCTGATGCCACGTTCTTCTCCAGATAGTCCAGCTTCTCATATTACTTGCTCAGCAAACAGATTGAATAAGTATGGTGGAAGGATACAACCCTAATACACACCCTTCCTCATTTAAACCATGCGGTATCCCCTTGTTCTGTTTGAATGACTACTTCTTGGTCTGTGGTACAGGTGCCTCATGAGCACAATTAAGTGTTCTGTAATTCCCATTTTTTCCAATATGTCTTCTTGAGCTGCCCTTTGAAATCTTCTGTTAAGCTCTTTTATTTCACCATTTCTTCCATTCACTTTAGCTACTCTCCATTTAAGAGCAAGTTCAGTCTCTTCTGACATCAATTTTGGTCTTTTCTTCCTTTCCTGTCTTTTTAATGACCTCTTGCTTTCTTCATGTGTGATGTTCTTGAGTCATCCCACAACTCCTTTGGTCTTCAGTCATTGGTGTACAATGGATCAAATTTGTTCTTCAGATGGTCTCTAAATTCAGGTTGGATATAATCGAGGTCATATCTTGCTCTTCAGCTTCAACTTGAACTTCCATATGAGCAATTGATGATCTTTTCCACAATCAGCACCTGGTCTTGTTTTGACTGATGTTATTGAGATTCTCCATCACCTCTTTCCACAGACTGTAGTTGACTTGATTTCCATGTATTCCATTTAGTGAGATCCATGTGTAAAAAGTCACAATTTTCGTTGTTGAAAACATGTATTTGCAATGAGTAAGTCATTGGTCTTGCAAAATTCTAGCATACAATCTCTGGCATCAGTTCTTTCACCAAGGCCATATTTTCCAATTACCAATGCTTCTTAGTTCCCAACTTTTGCTTTCCAATCACCAGTAATTATCAACACATATTGCTTGCACATTTGATCAATTTCAGACTGCAGAAGTTGGTAAAAATTTTCAATATCTTCTTCTTTTGCTTTAGTGGTTGGTGCATGAATTTGAATAGTAGTAGTATTAACTGGTCTTCCTTGTAACTGGATATTATCAGTTATTATCCTGTCACTGAAGCCTTTTAGTTCAGGATAGATTTTTAATATTCTTTTTGAATATTTGAATATTGAATGAAACACTATTTCTCTTCAATTTGCCATTACAGCATAGTAGACCATATGATTGTCTCATTCAAAATAGCCAATTCCAATCCATTTCAGCTCACTAATATGTAGAATATGTAGACTATACTAATATGCAGAATATCAATCTTTATGTGCTCCATTTCCAGTTTTCCTAGATTCATACTTTATACATTCCACATTCCAATTATTAACAAATGTTTGCAGCTGTTTCTTCTCATTTTGAGTCCTGCCTCAGCAGCAAATGAAAGTCCTGAAAGTGTCACTCCATCCACGTTATTAAGGGCAATTCTATTTTGAGGAGCCAACTCTTCCCCAGTTATATTTTGAGTGCCTTCCAACTTGAGGGACTCATCTTCCTGCACTATATTAGACAGTGTTGCACTGCTATTTATAAAATTTTCAGTGGCCAATTTTTTCAGAAGTGGATAGTCTCATCCTTCTTCCCAGTATGTCTTAGTCTGGAAGTTCTGCTAAAACCTGTCCACCAAGGGTGATCCTGCTGGTACTGGAAATACCAGTGGCATAGCTTCCAGCATCACAGCAACACTCAAGCCACCACAGTATGACAAGCTGACAGACGAGTGGTGTAGAACAATGATTTTGTGTACTATGTTATGCCGATTGAGTTTGATGTCCTCCATGGGTTTTCAGTATTTGATTTTTCAGAAGTAGATCACCAGGAATTTTTTCCAAGGCAGCTCTGGGTAGACTTTACCCTCCAACTTTTCATTTAGCAGCCAACTGCATTCATTGCTTGTACCACTCAGGGATTCTTTCTAGGGACTAAAAGTCATTAGCTTCACTTTGTAGCTACACCCATCCACTTTTCCCCCTATTTTGCTACAGGACTTACCATGAATAAAAGATGCCATAAAAACAAAGAATTCCTGAAAGGAAAAGGACTGTGAGCCAGTCCAGCTTTTCAGGAAATTTGAGGTGTCACAGGAACACTTCACACATGCCAGCCTCTTGTCCTCACCACTGAGCTCCACACAACCAAAAAAAAAAAAAAAAAAAACTCTGCCATCGAGTTGAATCCAACCCATAATGAACCCTCCTTGGGTTTCTGAGGCAGCATCTCTATGGAAGTATATTGCCCAGTCTTCCTTCTGAGCAGTGGCTGGTGGGTTTGAACCACCAGCTTTCTGATTAGTAGTCAAATGCCTTAGGCACTACACCAGCAGAGAGTTCTACAGGGGTGATGCAATCCTGTCCTGGTCATACATTAGCACTGTGGCATGAGAAGGCTATGTTCCTGTCTAGACCAAGCACTGGCAAGTGGGGGCCTTCAGGATCAGGCACAGGAGGAATAAGGCAGACCTCAGGGCAAGTACATGGGGGTTCTCCTGACATTTCCATTTAGGACCATCCAGGGCTCTGGTAGCATAGTGCTTAAGGCAATTGACTGCTAACCAGAAGGCTTGTAGTTCAAACCCACCAGCTACTCCTCGGAAGGAAGGTTGGGCAATCTACTTCCGTAAGTGATACTGCCTCAGAAACCCAAGAAGGGGTCGTTATGAGTCAGGTCCCACTCAGCACACAACAACAACAACAAGGGAGGATTATCAGACAAGCTTTTCCTGGAAGTGCAACTCTTCTGCTTTAGGGCATATATGTGCCACTTGTTCCAAGGAATCAGACAGGGCTTCAAGGCACACTTACTTGCAATAATAATTCAGTCCCAGAATTCTGGGGCTTCTGCTGACACCTCTACAAAGGCCCAGAAATCAGCTGGCAAGGAACTTACAGAATGTGAATCTCATGTAGTAATAATATGTTCCCCTCTTGCACTGACCACATCTGAGATCATTTCTTAATAGTAAAATAAGGCTGATATAGTTTATAGCTGGTTTACTAGTATATATCTGATGTCCCTGAGTAGAACAAATGATTAGTGCTCTCAGCTACTAACTGAAAGGTTGGAAGTTCAAGTCCACCCTGAAGCACCTCAGAAAAAAAGGCCTGGCAATCTATTTCTGAAAAATCAGCTATTGAAAGCACTATGGAGCACAGTTCTAGTCTGAGCCACATAGGGTTGCCATGAATTGAAGTTGATGGCAACTGGCCATTTAGTCCTATACTTCTAAAGGGATTTGCTTGACAAATGGAAGACACCCATTTCTAGTTATCCCACTCTCTCCAACTAGTCTATTCACATCATTAAGGCTATGATTGTTAGTGTGCAGTGTTTTCTAGTGCTCCTGAATGATAGTTATGCTCCCTTTTGGTTCACAGTTTCAGACTGAATCACATATACATCCAAACACAGTGCATCTTTGAAAAAACACCCTCACCAATTTTTTCTCTTCCATTCAGAGCACACACATGTTTCAACCGATTGGATCTTCCACCATATCCATCATACTCAATGCTATATGAGAAGCTGTTAACAGCAGTTGAAGAAACCAGCACCTTTGGACTTGAGTGAGAAAATGCAAACTCGAGGGTCTGACATTTACCTAAACAGTGTCATCAGCCTTTCTGGGATGATTCTCCTTTCCCTTAATCAGCTCTCCTTTGATTTTGGTATTCGATGATTTTTATTTTCCAACAAAATCAGGATTGACAAAAAGCTGTGCATGAAGAACTGCCTTCTTCTAAGATCTAACCTTCAGGCTTCTCTCCTCTGTCTTCGATGAACTGCTAGCCTGTATGCAATATTAAAAAAAAAAAAAAAACAGATGTCTCAAGGTCTGTGTATACCTCCATTACTAACAATGAAATATGAATGCAAGTTATGCTACACTTGACCAAATGGTAATAAATGTTTACTTCCATTTATATAATTTAAGGGGAAATTTGAGCATTAAGCATTCCAAGCTTTTCTATGCCCATGTCTCCTGAGCAGAACCACCATTTTTTATAATTTCTAACAACCAAATCCAGAACTTAGGAGTTGATCAACTCTTTCTTTTCCTCCCACTCTTCCCATGCATACCATCCATCCAAAGGACAACAGTAGCAAAACCGAAATTTTTATACATTGAACTCATAATTCGTATATGGCATCAGTCCCATTATCTGGAACTAGCCTAGACACATGGTGCAAATATGACACTTTCCGAAAAATATCAACAGCAAGAAAGATATCCCCTACTGATGTAATGCAGTGCATCCCAATGGTTGCAAGGAGTGTGGACTCAATTTGAGTTCAGAGAAGTCTAGAAGGAGAAGCATCCCCAGTGAATACTCACCACCACACAAGAAACACAAACTTGTGCACATGCCCACGAAGAAAATTTCATGATGTAACATAAAGGATGAGGCCTCTACCCCCACTGAGTTGTATAGAAGGCAATGAAGCAAACAGGAGAAAGGGAAGGACATATTACATTGGCTTGAATACCTGAGTTCTGTACTGTTTTGTTTTGTTTCATTTTGTTTTAATCTAGCTACAGTTCTCTTTCACAAATGGAAAAAAATTATAATCTCATGACTTTTGTTAAAACCAGATATTGCTTGATTGGCAGACAAACTTTTTTTTTTTAACTTTGATTTTGGTTTTTATGTGCATATATATATTTTTTTACTCCTAGTTTTTAAATTCCTTCACATCTGATTGTCCACAGAGACCACACTAAATAAGAAGCTGCAGAGAATGATGGTGCTTGTTAGAGATCAAGGGCAATCTAACACTTCTCCTTCATCCATGGCAATTTTCCTGGAGCAGAACCTAACACTCAAAAGGCACGCTGACTTGTGTCAAAATAAATATCCAGTTTCTTTTAGCATTCAGTAAAAAGATATCTCAGAAAATCTTAGTGTTTTCAGAAAAACAGTTGCAGGCTCCAAAAACAGCCTAACTGGTTGCATTTGAAATCAACCCAACGATAACAGTCATTTGCTATTTTTCTAACCTTATTGTCCATGTTGTCTGAAATATGTCATAAGTGAAAGTGTTTTTCTTCACTGGGAAAAGAGGAGCTAAAAGGGCCCCACTATTAAAATGCCACATTATTGTTTTCAATACATAAAGACTAAGGTGGAATGTGAGAAATATAAGACAAAGTTAATTTAATATGAAGTCATGCCTGTGCTCATCACATCAGTTTGTGTTTGGATAGTGTATTATTTGTCTTCCCCGTGCTCTGAAATCAAATTGTTTTTGTAACAATTATTTACAATGCCCAGTATCCCTTGCTGTTGTGATGCCAATCAGGGAATATATGCTATAGAAATACAGTCTTCTATTGTTGTCTGAAAAGACTATTTAATGGAAATAGGATGGAATGTGTAAGTTATATGATACAGAATTTGAGGGATCTGTAAAATTCAGGACACATTTCAGCATCTGAAAAATAATGGATTCCAAAGGAGCTTTTATTTACTTATTAAATCAGAACACAAAGATTATGCGAATCATTTTGCCAAACCTTTAGCCAAACTCTTTGAACAGCATATAGAGAGTATCTTTCATTTTTAGAAATTGGTTTTATATACATATATAATATGCATGAGTATATAAATACTCATTAATTCAAGCATTCAACACTTTTTTTTTAGTACCTTTATTATTTTTTAGGCATTGGCAAGTGAGAAAACTGTCTAAGAGATAGAACTTGCTCTCAGCGAGCTTTACAATTTACACAAATATCTAATTAATGAGCTTATTCTACCTATGTTTAAGGAGCTCTGGTGGTGTAGTGGTTAAGGCATTTGGCTGCTAACCAAAAAAAAGTCAGTGGTTCAAACCCACCAGCTACTCTGCAGAAGAAAGATGAGGCAGTCTGCTTCCATAATGATTTACAGCTTTGGAAACCCAATGGAGGTCGCTATGAGTTGGATTCAACTCGATGGCAGTCAATTTGGTTTTTGGTTTTACTGCCTTGGAAACCCAGGGAGGGGTCGCTATGAGTCAGAACCAATGTGATGGCAGTGAGTTTGGTTTTTGGAGTTTTTTTAATGAAGGTCCCTGGGTGGCACAAATGATTTGTGCTTGGCTACTAATTGAAAGGTTGGTGGTTCAAACCTACTGTGGAAGAAAGCCCTGGTGTTTGTTTCCGTAAAGATTACAGCCAAGAAAATCTTATGGAGCTCAGTTCTACTCTGTAATACAAGGAGTTGCCATGAGGAAGAATTGACAGCAATATGTTTGGTTTTTTTTGGATTGGTCTACCCGTATGCAGAAGGAACAGGGGATCTTAGGAATATATATATAGATAACTTGGGCATAAATGTTTTTTCAACTAATGTTTCTTTATCCCCTCCCTTGATGCCATGATTAAAAATGTACCCTAAAAAGCATAAAAGGAAGGAGTAGTATTCATGAAGTAAAAAATTCCATAAAGAAACAGTGATGTCAGACAGCTGAGAGAATGCAAACCTTGCTTAGTGGGGCCCCAGCATTCCAATACAGCCTTTCATAGAATCCCTGAGGAAGGAAAACAAAGAGAAGCAAAGAAGATATAGATTCTTTTTCTTTTTCTTTCTTTTTTTTTTTTTTTTTTTTTTGTGATTTGGGTGAAGAGATACAGATTCTTTTTATCTCTCTATTTCCAAAATGGGTTTCATCATCTATATATATAATGGAACAACTATAGACTGACTGACTTATGCCATTAACTTCATGAGATGGGAGTATAAACTATTCCAAATCTATAATTTATCGGGTAAGGCAGAAGATCTATTTGTTACCACCTGTAATTTTTTCCCTTTGGTTTAAGGTATAAGTTTTCTCCACAGACACAAATTACAAAATTAATCAATTATGTAAGCCACAACCCACCTAAAAGAAAATATTTTAAATCTAGTTTTAGTTAAGAATGTTATACACTTTAATTGGGAACAAACAAGACAATAAATAAGAGAAAAATTATGAGTTACAATTTTGAAAAATGTTTTTAAAGTTCTATAAATATTGGAATAAAAGTTTCATAGCTATCACAACATTTTACCACTTTATTTATAAAAGTAGAAGTTGAATCTGCAGGGCCAGAAGTACTCTAAAGCTACTGAATTCTTTGTAAATTTCTATGTATATAAGTCAATGATGGTGTTGAAATTTTTTTATGACCATTACTAATGTAACACAAAACGAAACATTGTTTGGAGAGTAGTGAGAAAAAATTAAGGAAGGGAGATATGTGATAATTTTGACAGACTTTAAATATGCAAGATCTAAATGTTTTGGTTTTTTTTTTTTTTTTTTTTTTTTAGTATATGACCGTACATCCACTACCAATAAGTATATTTGTGTAACAAGATAATAATCTGGATTTCCCAGGACATTTCTAACGTTACATCTATTGCATTGTCAATCCATTGTGTCAAACCATAGGTCCAAAATTTGGGTTTGGAAAATTTCTCAATTGCCACAAATGTTTTCCCAGTCAAGATGAAACACTTTCAAATGAAAGTAGTTAGAACTTTACATAACAAATGTGGTGCTTTATTATTATTATTAAGTATTTCCGTGTTCGTTGTTAAAATTACTGCAATACTATATCATAAAAATCTGGGATAGATGTTCCAGCCATCATGAGGTCCAAAACAGAAAGTGTTATTTTCCTGTTAGTGATATGTAGCCCCTTTGTTTTAGTAGAAAAACAGGTGCCTAGAGGTAGTATATAGAGTAAATATTGTTCCATTAGCCTACTTCCTGCAGCTTCCAATTTATCTAAGGAACTGTCTACAATAATTTTGTTACTGGTCTTTGTGCTAGTCAATAGCAGGAGAAGTCCACATGGTTGGGCTTATTTTGCCTACATTGACAAGAAAAATGTCATGTGATACTCAGGCCGCGCTTTCTCTTCCATCATACCACCAACAAGGAATGTCAATAAACTCACTTTGGTATGGCATCGTGTGTGCTCCTTATTGCAGATGAAAGTCTAGGGTAACGCATGTCAACTATGTAGTTCTGGTATCATACCTATGCTCTTGCTGGACATAGCAATAAAACAACACAGAAAGCTTCCAGCTGCTATGATACATAATCCTCTGAAGAATTATTTTTCAAAAAAGCATAGTGTGTACTCACAAACCTGTGAATAAAAGAACAGCTTTTGTAACAAGGTCCTTGTGTATGCCTATTAGAACTCCACCCCAACCATATGGCTATGCTTTGTGAGCATACTTCATGTCAAACCAGGCACGCACCAGTTGATGTGAGTCCCTACTTGTCTAAATGGTTCTAAAAAGGCTTTGGCCCATGGCTTAACGTCCAGTGTGAGCCTAGGATGAGGGTTAGCAGTAGGCAAAAATGTCGGGTACAATGGCACGTATCACAACTCCCAATAATGCAAAGGCATTAACACCTTCCAAGGCTCTAAAAGACAAACCCTGTAGTTTTCACTGGGAAGTCAGAAGCTGATTTATTCCTTGAGGGAAAAATATATTTTATTATTAGAAATAAACTGTAGGTAGAATTGAGAGAAAGAAGAACTGGATGAACTAATTTGGAGATGATGTTACAATATTGCATTTTCTTACATGTACTGGGTTTACTTTATACTTCTTCTAACTAAAAAATTTTTTTTCCTTTGGATATTAGAAAAAAGTTAGCCAGGGTCATAATTTATGGAGATGAGTAGATTCTATTATTTTGTAATTTAATCTTATCATTTTTCTGAAATCAAGATTAGTTTTAGTATCTCCTCATTTCTATGACCATACTTTTCCAATAACTGTAAAACACATTGATTTGAAACTGTACCAAAAAAATGTTACACGTACAGCATATATTCAAGAAACACTTGTGATAGTTGGAGCTGTGTGTCAACTTGGCTGGACCACAGTTCTGTGTGGTTTAAGCAGCTGTGATGTGGGTTATTCCCATGATGGGATAACATGTATGTTTTGAGCAGCCAATCCATCAAAAGGGAATTTCCCTAGGGGTGTGGCCTGCTTCCAATATATTTATGGACATCCTGGGAAAAGAGATACTCTTCTGTGGATATGGATTCTGTTGTGCTGCCTACAACTGCCCTGAGCGAACAGTCCACCATTCGGCCTAGAGATCTTGGATTCATCACTCGTTGGAGTCAACAGCTGGTATACTGCCTGCCAACCTTGAGCTCATCAGCCCCTGCAGCTGCCTGAGTTGGGAAAAGCCTCCAGCTTGATGTTTGATCCAAGAACCTGGGACTTGGACCCAATCTGGACCAAGAACCAGCTTCTATAAGTGTGCGAGCCATTTACCTAAGATAAATTTCTCCAAATGTATATAAAAGCTTTACTGGTTTTGCTTCTACAGAGAACCCAGCCTAACACAACACTTAAATATGTTTATAAAGGATGGTTGTCTAGTAGAGTAAATGAAGAGAGTTCTGGAGGGCCAAGCTTCTCTTCTAACCTGTAAGAGTGCTATAGGAATCATCACATTTATAGCTCGGACACTTAGGTACTTTTGTCTGCCTACTTATCTTGGAGATGAGGAATCTGACACCAGGAGAGGTGACTTGTTCAGGGTCACTGTCTTAGGCCAGGATCTCTAGAGAAGCAAAAAACAGTAAAGCTTATACATATGTATGTATGTATGTATGTATGTGCATATATATATACATATGCATATACATATACATATACATATACTGGTAGCATAATGCCTAAGGGACTTGACTGCTAACCAGAAGGCTGGCGGTTCAAACCCACCAGCCACTCCTTGGAAGGAAGGTTGGGCAATCCTACTTCTGTAGTGATACTGCCTCGGAAACCCAAGGAGGGGTCGCTATAAGTCGGGGCCGACTCAACGGCGAACAACAACAACAACAACATATATATATTAGAAAAATGGCTCACACAGTAACAGAGGTTGGCAAGTCCCAAGTTCCGGGATCAAACATCCAGCTGGAGGCTTTTCCCAACTTCACAGCTTCAGGTGCTGATGAGCTCAA